GGAAGCGCGTATACATTTTTCGCACTAATTCTTCATGATCTTACTTTTAATTTCTTCACGAATCTCCTACATAAATCTTATAACTCTGTTAATTCCATTGTTAATATTAAAATCATTAAATAATTGGATGTTATACCAATAACGATCGAAATTTATGATTAAAATTTACAAATTGATGAAACTAAAAATAAATTTTTTTTTTAACTCGTAGCTAAACTAAATATTAAATCCAATTCTTAGATCAAGTCCTTGAAACTTTATTTGATTATTTTATTAAACTAAACGCAAAATACCTCAAACACTTTTACCTGAAATTTTTGAGATTTAGTTAAATATGCATTTAGAAACATAACAAATTTTAAACCGACCTCAATTTTTCAATTCTACGCCATTTTCTAAAAAATTATTGAAATTAATGCAAAAAAAAAAGTACTTCCATTCATTCAAAACAAAATTAGCTTTATTAGGAATATTAGATTTTTTCTTTTGAACGTTTCATTTTATTATCCTGAACACTAAAATTAAAATTTCAAATAGGCTACTTGTTGCTAAACAATTATTTGGAAATTTAATATTTTTTTTTCTAAACAACCCAATCTATTTTCCACTAACAAAAAATATAATTGGGCAGTTTTTCTTTCCACTAACAAAAATTATAATTGGGCAGTTCTTCTTTCTTAAAAAAAAATAAAAAATAATATCAATGAGAAAAAAAAAGTAAAAAAGAGCGACATAATAGGCCCTATTTTATTTGATCGTCCATTTCATATTTATTCAATTTTAGTTTTGACGATTCACCGCCCGCCTTTATACCGTAAAGGGCATTCATGACCCTAATTTAGTTTAAATGACCAAAAATTATCATAAAAAAATATTTTTCATTCAAGAAAATTAATAGAGCGAACAGTATTATCCTATTATCGTTTAATCAAAAGAAACGTATAAAAAAAGTGAGAAGAAAAATTAATTTTTTTTTTGTATACGATATTGGAGTCAAGCTTTTCCATCAGTTTATTCGCATTAACAACAACAAAATATAAATGACCACATTCAGGACTATTGCAAAATTGAAAAAAAACGCAAAATATCTTTCCTTTTTCAATGTTTTTTATCGCAAAAATTAATTTATAAATTGTGTTCCTATTTATATGTATCTAGTTCTTTACAAAAATAAAATGTTTCTTTTGTAATATGATGGAAAAGATTAATATCGATTTACAAAAAGATTATATTGTGTTAAACGTGTCAATTATTCATTAAAACTGCAAGAATAATAAAAAGTTGGGTCAAACCATGGTTTGCAAAGTAGCACTTTTCCCTATACAAGAAGTGAAGGTGCTGCTCTTAAAAACTTCCCATTACATTATTGAAATTTCGTTTGTTCATACACAAAAATATTTCTAAGATTGCATACATTTAGGATGATTTAAAAAAAAAAAGAAGTGTTAATATAGTGACTGAATTCAACAGTTAATTACGTTAGTTAAGAAAAATAATTATATTTTTTGATGGTTAGCCTTTTGCATTTATAGAAATTTGGAGCAGCTTGTAGTTTCGGAAATGTAGGAAGCCTAAAATAAATTGTACAAATTTTCATGAGGCATAATTTGAAAGGAGTTGAAGGTGGGAGAAAATTTTCTTCTGGATAACGGTTAATTTTAGTGGCCACTTTGTTGAACTTTAATTCAAGTTTGCTGTACCACAGAAGAAGAAACCAGCCACTCCTTTTCCGCATTTGTAAAATTTAAATCTCTTATTGTAACGGTCTCGTTACAATAAATAGTCACAAAATGGCATTTTAAGGTCTTTGACAGATTATAGATTTTAGAGTGGGGGAGATAAATTTTCTTCTACGGAATTAAGTTCGTAGCAAAGATCTATGTACGTATGAAATTTCAACTTACTATCTTCAAGAGTGTAAAAGGAACATTTATGCTACATGGAGTGTGACCAAATTGTCGTACTAACCACACCAGCCCATGACTGAATGGAGACGGTTAAAATTGATCGTTATCTAAAAACCTTTTTTTCTTTTAGCTTTCGATATTGTTTTTCTTCTAGACCAGAGGTTAAATAAAAATCTTAACAATCAAGTTCATATTTTTTATTAAATTTGTTAAATTTAAATATTATTAATTAAATTTAATAAATTTAATAAAAAATTGAATTTAAATAAAAGTAAAGTAATTCTCACATGAGCAAAGCTAAATAAAAATATGAAAAAAAAATTGAGGATCCATAAATAATCAATTTTTTTTTTTTCATCTTCATAGACCCCTAGCAGACCTTAATGGACCCCTGCTAGTCTATTTAGACCACTTTGCGGGAATCGGTGTTCTAGACGATGTAAGTTGTAAAAGTGCAATGTGAATTTTTGCCGCTTTATATTTCCTTGCTTATTTTTAAAGCAGAAAGCCAACGGTAAAGCAATGTAATCAAAAATGTGATTATTTGTTTTGATTCACTTACTCTTTGCAATATCTTGATATAATATTTTCGTATACATCACGAAAGTAGTTTAAATGAACAGTAATTTTACTTATCCAAGGAAAAATTTTACTTTACAAACAATTGATTTGATCCAAATTTCTTGTTTTAGAAACTATTACACGACAACGATGAGTATATCAATTAATCAAATGTACGTTGCCGTTAAGTATAATTTAATTTTTGAATTGTTATGGATATTAGTCGAACAGAATCTTTTCCGTATCATTTTCTTCAATCCTCGAAATTACTAAGAAAAATTCTGAGCGATCAACCCCAAGAGAAGTATATAGTTCTAGACCACCCTGTAGTTGCAAGGCTTTAATCGAATGTTATCTAAATACCAAAAAGAAAATAAGGTCAAAATTAATATTTTTCATTTTCTAAAATGGCAAACTTTTTGACAGCTGGTCGACTTAAAGCTAATGTCTTTCCCAAGTAACATTACCATTCATTTTTCAAAAATAATTTAGGTAGAATTTTAAAATAATAAAAAATATTTTTTGTTTTTCTTAATTTTCTCTTGTTCTCCATAATACAGTCAAAACAAATTTAACTTTTCAAAATAATAACGGTTAATTTTTTGCCTTCTCCAATAAAAAATTCAGGTTCAAAAGAGAAGAATCTTTTTAATATCTTTCTTTTCTCTTTTCACCTTTTTCATTTTCACTTCATGCAATTTAAAAGCAAAATTTCTTTGTTTCTTTTTTTCTTTTAAAGTATTCATTTTATTTTATTTTTGAAATTTTATAATGACATTTTCCAACACTGAACTGTCGTTTTGCCTTTAATAGTAAAGAATGTTGTTAATATCTTTGTATTTTATTTCATCGCATTTGTGATGTGATCTTACCTTTTATTATTCTCACTCCTATGTTGCCTCCAAATTCTGAATGGATACTGTTTTTATTCTTGATTGTAATTGTATTTTTTTTTCCTTTTCTTCTATTATTTTTTTCCTCTCGGAATTTTATTTCTGTTTTTTTTATATAAGTATACAGGAAAACATGTAGCAATAAAACGTGTTGCGAATGTTAAATAGGTTCATTAGAGTTTTATAGGTACTTCTCATGTTTTTTATTAGGTTGAAAATTAAAAAATGTTTGTTTATATTTGGACATTCATAACACATAGAACAAAAATCATTATAGAATGTGACTAAAAACTTTTTTGTCCAACTACAACGAAGAAAGGAATTAAAGTAAATTTGTATTAACAATAGAAAATATTTTGTATTCACAAGACAATAAGATATTTTTATAACTTAAGTTCTTATAACACAATATTATGTTATACCTACGTGTAAATTCGCAAGGGACAGGTACTTGACACACAAAAACGTAACCTTTCAATATAATAGAAAAATTATTAATCCAAAATTATTATCCGATATCCATTGCTTCCATTTATTTTTGTCAAAAAATTTTCATCTTTTATGAAATGACTGGGATTGTACTCAAAATCAAATTTATTTTTAATAATATTTTGAAATTTTATTTTGCGATAATCTTATATTTCTTATATGTATTTGGATACAATTCTTATATTTGATAGTTTTGTCTTATTCTTGTTTAGTGCAGGACTAGTGCAGGTCTTTGACAGGTTCTCATAAAGATCTATTGTCGCATTTGGTAATTAAATTTATTTGGTTTGATATTGCTTTGAATGTACATTCTTAAACTACTCATGAGCCTATGCGTGATGAACGTTTTGGCATATGAGTAAAACGTAACCTTAATTTCTTTTGGACTAAGCTTTGTTCATAAAACTTTTTTTTTAATATGTATATGTCAATTTAATAGAAACCGATATTTCAAATATTATAATTAAATTCCAAAATAACTCCAAAATCACACGACCCATCTGTTGTGAATCGGAAAACTATTCCCATTTACAAGAAAAAAATAGTAACAGCAAAAATCATCTGCACAGATGTTTGAGATACTTAAATCGTACTCAGTTTGGAAAATTATGATGGTCAAATATTAAACAAAGAAAAATATTAACCTTTTTTTTAGAAATATTTCGACTAAACATTATCGAAAGAAATTCTGAACATTTCTATTACATAAAATTTGGAAAATTTGTGCGGAAAATTTCTATATTTTAATTTTCAGCAAAGTAGATTTTATTCGGTAAATTCTGAGAATAAAAGTTTTGTTCGGAGACTTTTTGTCTTTAGAACTCTTTTTTTGAAAAGTACTTTCCGTTTTGAGTTTATAACACAAATTTCATCGAAATTCGGAAAGTGTGTATTTTTCATTTTAAGACTCCGCTTTAGTTCTAAATAAGGTCATACTCACTTTAATTGAATATATATAAACATTCTATTTGTACTTATATTGTTCGTTTCGTCCGCTACATACACATATATTCCAACTATGAATAATAATTAATTCATGCGAGTTTTTCGCGCATCATTTGAAACTTAATTACATAATTTTTTCATAACTTTAACTATAATTTCTCGTATTCATCTGTTAATAATCATATGTTGTTTTTGTTTCAGGATTGACAAGAAGACAACCAAGTTTTGTTGATGATAACAAAAGGAAGAGCAAAACAAAAATAATAGAATTGTTGGTCTAATTAAAATGCTTCACTCCTATCCGGAGTTAAGAAAAAATACAAAACCAGATAAGTTCTTAAATAATAACAATAATGATCGAAAATTTATTAAAAATTCAATTAATGCTGAAGGATTCTCAGTATTTTATGAAAATACTTTGCATACGCCACCATTTTATTCTATTCGAAATCCAAAACAATCAATTCAACAACAACATTACATTTCAGCAATATCATTATCACAACCACCGTCCCAATTACCAGTGCATTCCTTAACAAATCCATTAACAGCTATCATGACAACAGCTACAACTACAAATTCAAATGGTAAAAATAATTGTAATAAAAGTGGTACTGAAATTTATGGTAGTAGCGTTGTTGTTAATATTAATCAGCAACAACAACAACAACAACAAATATCTAACAAGAATAATAATACTGTAAATAATAACAAGAACGAAGAGAATCGCCTTAATCAAAGAATTTTAGGTTCCTGTAATACACGAACCAATACTGCTTTTGGTGTAGCGAATCAACCACAGGGAATCACTGGCATTACAAATTTAAATATAAATAATAAAAATAGTAATAAAATTTTTAATACGAATAATAGTAATAATAAAAATAAGATAATGAGTAATACTGGTGTAAATATAGAAAGCACTGTGATTGATGATACTAGTTATAAAAGAAATCCTATTAATATTAATGTAAATAATAATACTAGCGGTGGTAGTTATAGGAAAGAGCAACAACACCAAAAACAACAACAACAACAGCAACAACAATTACAATATAACAATGAAAATACAATAAACAGTGGTAGAAAACGTATTTCAAGACAAAATTCTAGTGCTAGCGATACGAAATCCCATATAAGGCGACATAGGCAACATGATTCCGAACGAATGCAGAAGCAACAAAAAGGCTGTGAAAAATATTATAGCAGTCAATCAACGATGCAATCTGGTAAACCAAATTCTGGAAATGCTAGTGGTGGAATAAGTGGTTCTTCTACAGGTGTTGGCGGTGTTTCTACGAACAGTGGTAATACTGGCGGAATTCCAACTAATTCTAACACAAAAAATTCTGCTACTAGTGGTGGTAACACAATGAACCCAAACAATATTGTAAACGGACGTAGTACAAAACGTTTACCATCATTAAGTAGCGCTGATTCAACATCATCTTCGTCATCTTCCTGCAGTGGATCATGTAGTGAAGATGGTGATACCAGTTCAACATCATCCGGAGAACCAAATTTACCATATCCTGGTTTTCCAGCAGTTGCACTTAAATATTTAACACAGGATACAAGACCAAGAAATTGGTGTTTAACATTAATAACAAATCCATATCCTTTTCAAAATGATTTTTAATATTTTATTTTTAAGTAAATTAGCTATTAGATTTCAGAAGTAAATTTATGCTGTTTCAAGTGAGTTACACATTTTATATTTCATTTATTTTTTAATAATTATGAACAAATAATAAAAAATTTTCAAAATTTGTTGTGAACAAGAAATTTTTTAAAAATGACTGCGAATTGTTTAAATCGATTTAAATAAATTTTATTAGACTTTAAATATAAAAAAATTTAACTCAGTTTTGTTAAATTTTTAATGTATGCGTTATGTCTTATATTTATGAAAATTTCATTCAGATACAAAAGTTTTAGTACCAAATCTTTGGCCTCTGTAAATGTTCTAAAGTTCTGTACATAATATTTTTAACCGATGTAAAGAAATTTCCATAGTTTAAGGCCTTTTCAAACAAATCGAAAAGAAATACCTAAGAATATTTACTTTTAAATTTTGAAATAAATTGCAATTAAGATCAAATTCTTCTTTATTCTTCTTCCAAATTAAAATCGATTATTCTTCCTAAAAAAAGGATTTCATCCAATTTTAAAAAGATTTTTGAGGCGAAAAGACTTTAGTTTTAAGTAATATTTGCTAAAAATTAAAATTTTTATTTTATGAATAATATCGGAAGTCTACTTTAATATATTTCAAGATCTCATAAATAAAGAACGTGCCGCATGCAAATTGATTTAATGATATGGAAACTTTTCCAAATAAAAACCACGTAGACCTGTAGAAACACAAATATCTTCAATTGACTATGTATGCCTTAAGCATCCATAACAAAATAAAATACGTATGAATTTGTAATGAACTATATTCATTTTCAAACTGTTTAAAAATTCAACTTTTAGCTTATGTTATTGCTTTTAAAAATATTAGAGCACTTCCCTTATAACTTTTCAAAGTTTATGATATTGCGAAAATAATTTTATTCTCATATAATTTGGCAAAATATTACTAGAATAAAAATTTAATATAAGATAATGAAAACGTGCAATTTGGTATGCCACCAATAATTGTATCATTGTAAATCTAAAGAGAATAGGCACGGGTGAAGCATTTGAAATTTATTTATTATAAAAACTGTCCACCAAAATTGTTAATTTTCTTAGCCATAATTTATACAAGAATTCCTAAAATTGTCCGATACAAACTTTTTATACGCTGAAAATGTATATACCTTCATACATATGTACGAGTATAAAAACTTATTTAATTGGCGAAAATTTATTAAAAATAACAAAACAAAATAAAATTGGGTCAAACCAACGGTTGTATTGTACCACTTTTCCCTTATCCCAACAAATAAAAATACTGCTTTTTAATACACTCTATGTATACCTACCACACTATTAAAATTATCTACACTCATAAACGAAACTATTTCAAGAATTGCATATATTTAGGATGAACAATTTGTGCAGTCTTTGAAATAAACCAAAAATTAATACAAAGAGGGGTTAAGATGCACGATTTTAAGGGTTAATTGTGTGAGTTACGAAAAATAATTATATTTTTTAATGTCATGGAATATACCGTTAGCTTTCTGCGTTTATAGAAATTTGAAAAAGCTTTCGGTTTCAGAAATATAAGGTGTCAAAAATTCAAATTTTACAAATTTCAAGAGGTGATAACTTGAGAGGGGGTGGTGATGGAAAAAAATTTTCTTCTAACGAAATAAGTTTCCAGTAAAGATCTATGAACATATAAAATTTTAGCTTTCTATCTTCAAGGGTGTAGAAGTTTTGTAAACATATCCACGGACGGATGGACAGAGTGAAACTAATAAGCACTTTTTTTCAAAAAATTTTTAGAAAAGTGCTACAAAAAAACAAACAGTTTTATTAAAAAAATTTATTTCAGTTAATAAAAATTATTATTTGAGTGTAATTAAATTTTTCGGCGTTATAAATTCAAACTCGTTATATTTTTAGAATTAGATTTTGTTGTTCTTCTCATTTTTATTGTTCAAATCCTTTCTCGGTTCTATTGTAAGCTAATTAAATTTCATGGAAAAATAATGGGATTTTTAATTCATAAACTTTTTCAATTTATTAAGCAAAGGCGAAAAAAAATACAAAAAAAAATATTTTTTCTGGTTTTAATTTTATTTATTGAAAATTCTTTCGAGAAATTTTTATTTTTCATAACAAAAATTCACACACACAAGGATTAGAAGCGAAAAAAAATCTAGTTTAAGAAAAAAAAAATTTTTCATCACTCCCAATTTTTGTTTTCAAAATATTTTCCTTTTTATTTGTTTGTGTTTCTCGTTTTTGTTTAGGTAAATTGAAAAAATAGTTTTCCATTTTCCCTTCTTACTTTAATTTTAAACCATTCTCAAGCTTTTCCACAACAAGTACAACATAAATACGTTTTTAAACATAAAAAATATTTTCACATATGCCAGTGTTTGTGTGTGGTAAAAATAACTAAACTACTTCAACTTCTAAAATTTAAAAAAAAAATGTTATTATTCAAAAAATTACAAATCTAGAAAAAAAAAATTCTTCCTTTTTCTCCCCATTTTTTAAGATTTTTTTCATTTATTTGAAATTTTCAGGTCACTAACAATTTGTTTTTCTCTAATAATATAGGGGAAAGAAGTAAAAATACGAACGTATCCAACATATTTATTTGCATTTTTCATAACACTTTAAATTTATGAATTCATATACTTTAATGAATACACAAACACACACAAATTAACTAAATGTCATTTAAGGAAACACCAGCATATTTTATCAATGTAAACGACATGAAATCGGTAAATGTGCTTTTGTACGTTTTTCATAAGGTATCTCGTATCAATGTCCACTGCTATATACCGTACTCCGTACAATGTGAAACTTTTATACGAAGACGATGTTCATAGCCCAACAGGTTCGGAATTACAGAAGCTTAAAGTCAATCTCGACTGTTTTTTTTAACTTTCTGAAATTTTAAGTATAAATGAGTGATTGTGTATGACAGTCGCATTATTAATAAGATTTGAAAACCTCAGCCCTTAGAATAAGGGCTTTCTCATGAATATCTTTATTAGCTGTAATCTGTTCAAATTTTGGAATCACATGATTTTAAAGTTTGAAAAACTTGAAATTTCAACTTTTTATTTTTAAAAATGCTTAATTTTTTATTTACTGCAAATGTTATTTAACACCAAATTTTTTTCTTCCATTACTTCTTGAAAAACCAAGAACAACCGTTCAAAATAGCGTCTCTTTTCTATTATGGAAATGTTAACAACAAATTTAGAACCGAGCTTCCACTACATTTGCAAAAATTATTGGCCCGAAGAATGACGTAGTAGAATTATACTACTGTATGTCAGTTTTAACTTTGATAATTAATTTTAATATTCAAGCATTGAAGGAGGGTCAATAGCCCAACGATCACGCATAAAAGTCGCCTCATCTTCTCGTTCTTTTTCGTCTCCGAGCCCTAAATTTTATACACACGCCAATTGGAAAAATTCGTTTTTTAGACGATAATTAAAATCAAAACTGACTAAGAGTTTGAGGAATCTAAACATGCTATAAACATAGATAAAATATAAACATGTCGACATCGGAAGCGTTAAAAATTTGCCAATAATTTAGAAAAATTAGACATGTAAAACAATAGTCATATATAAAAGGCATTTTTACTGTATACAATCCCACATTTATTTTAAGATTTCATGCACTTTTGTATTATTGATTTTCCAATTATTGCAATCAATTATTCAAATTAAACATTTCAATAATAAATTGCAATAATTTTAATTTTTCCTATTTAATTTTACAAGTTTAAAGACAAGTCATCTAGTATGATTGTATTAAGGGTATGTGGTTCCTATGTTTTATAAAATATTGCAATAATTTGCATATTTTATTTCGGTTTAAGATAATGTTGAAGTTTTATCAGAAAACATTGGTAATTTTAATAATATTTTTCATATTGATAGTGAAACTGATTTTGCAATGTGTAACTTTTCACTCTATCTTATTAAAATACCCTAATCTATGCCTTAATGTATTCAAAAATCACAATTCGAACAACCAAAAATGAACATGAGAAGAACATTTTTTAAATATTTTTTTTATTTCATTAAATTTCATTAAGAAGCTGGTAATTTATTGAGCATAAAAAATTGAGGACTGGGCAGAAATTTCTTAAAAATAAAACCACAAACTTCAATTATATTTTATTTATAAACTAATGAAAAGTTAGTGTTCCTTTCTATATTCCAAACCTATTTTTTATACATCTTTTCTCTACAAAGCAATTACTGCAAATTAAAATCGACCTTACACACCACTAGCTGTCTTTGTACATATATAATTTTAAATATTCGCAAGTAATCGGACATATCGGACATAAGACACAAAATATTGTCGTTCCGAAAGGCTGAACATATAATCACAAAATTTTTCAATATTATTTATATAGTGTGTAATTCAAAGTCACCCTGTTTAGCAAGTTATAAAAATAAAAAACAAAAGAGAAATTTTTTTTTACGAAATTAATCTTCTCATATTTTTTAATAAACAAGAGTGTTACGTACAGTTAAAAGTATAAAAAATTGTAGGTATGTATCTAGAAACACCGTAAAATTTAAAAAAACAAATTACTAAAAAAATTTTTTCTATACTTTTTCCTTCTATGTATGAAAAATTGTAGGTAAAAAGAACCAAAAAAAAATTTTTTTTCACATCCTTGCAAATGTCGGTATGCATTTTTTTTTTTTGTTTTTCTCAAAAAATTTTCACCAACAATCAGTTTCGGTGACGTTATAACAATCACATATGTATGCTATAAAACTTAATGGCCAGTTATGGTAAGCTTATATAATCAGCGGATATAAAACTGATTTATGGAAAAACTTTGTAAATCTTTTCGTTTCAATAAATTTTAATTAAACTTAAAATTTCGATTTTATTGAATTTTATGAAGACGAAATATCAATAATTCCCGGGAAAATCAAAACGATAAATACGTTCCTACA